GTTTGAGCGTATAACCTTAAGAAATATTGTATGTTATGGTGAGTTAGCCAAGGGGTCTTGGCAGCTAGGGGGATGAGAACATTTACAAAGAAAGATCCAAAGTGAGAGGAGCTTGCACTTTTCATTTACAATTTTCCACTAAGGTATTTACACTTCTATTGAGAGGAACTTCCCAATGGTCAAGCGGTTGCTGGGAAGGACTTCAACTCTTCAAAGGCTTTATGGAAATCTTTTGTCCATTGGAAATCCTTCAACTTCTTGATGGTCCAGAAGAAGGGTAGGCATCGGTCTACCAACTTGGACATAAACCGCCTGAGGGATGTGACCCGACCGGTGAGTCTTTGAGTTTCTTTAATTGACCGAGGGGACTCCATGTCCAGGATGGCTTGTATTTTCTCAATGTTGGCCTCTATGCCTCGCCAAGTGACTACAAAACCCAAGAATTTTCCTAAGGTGACCCCGAAGGCGCATTTGGTGGGTTTCAACTTCATGTTATATTTTCTCAATACCCCAAATGTCTCGCCGAGGTCCAAAGTGTGTTGGCTAGCCCTAAGACTCTTCACAACCATGTCGTCGACGTAGGCCTCAACGTTCTTCCCAATCTGCTCTTTGAAAATTTTGTTCATTAGGCTTTGGTAAGTGGCCCCAACGTTCTTCAGTTCAAAAGGCATCACCTTGTAGCAGTAGGTGTTGTGTTCGGTTATGAATGAGGTCTTTTCCTCGTCAATCGGGTGCATCTTTATCTGCTTGTAGTCAGAGAATGTGTCCATGAAGCTCAATAGCTCATACCCCATGGTGCAACTTTATTTGGTTGGGGCAGGCTTTGTTAAGATCTCTCTTATGAAGTCGGCGCCGATTATCTTGTCCACCTCCTCTTCGATGGCTTTTCAGTGCAAATTTCCTCTTCTTTTGTCAAATCGGCCACAGCTCAAGTCCACGCTCAGCCTATAAGTGATGACTGAGAGGTAAATTCTTGTCATATCAGTGGCAGACCAAGCAAACACGTCAATATTGGCTTTGAGGAAGTTTACCAGTTTGAAAAGTGTGTCCTGAGGGAGGCGAGACCTGACACGTACTGTTTTCTTGGGCTCGGCCTCGTTGAGGGGAACCGAGATGAGGTCCTCAGTTGGCTAGGCTCAGCCTGACGGTTCGTCCCTGAGATCGAGCCCCTTCAGTGGTAGGGCTTCCTTGTTCTTGCCTTTTAGTGTTACAATGTAACACTATCTGGCAGCTTGTGGGTTTCCCTTAACTACCCCTACACCATGCTTTGTAGGGAACTTCATGGCGAGGTGGTAAGATGCAAAGACCGCCTTGAGTACGTGAAGAGTCGGCCTCCCTATGATGGCGTTGTAAGGTGAGCCGATCTTCACAACCAAGAACTTAATCATTTGAGAGGCATGCTGAGGTTCGGTCCCTATAGTGACTGGTAGGGTTTCTTCCCTTTAGGTCTAACAGCTGCTCTGGAAAACCCAACGAGTGGCATGTCATTGGGTTGTAGTTAGTTTGGTGTCAACTACATCTTCTCGAATGTTTCATAGAACAGGATGTCGACCAAGGAGTTGTTGTCTATGAGAATACTTTTCACTATGTAGTTGGCAATGATCATTAACACCACCACCGCGTCTTCGTGGGGCACAAAGTCCCCTTGTAGGTCGCCTTCCAAGAAGAAGATGAGGTCCTTCGGCCTCCGCTTCTTTGGTTTTGGGCTCTAAATGTTACACTACTTGGCGTATGCCTTCTGAGACAAGGCGAATGCTCCCCCTCGAGGCTGAGCCCCCAGCTATGACTTCAATGACTCTGCCTAGGGGGCAATGGGTATGGGGCTCGTCCTGTGGCTGTTGCAAGGATGACGTTGGGGCATTGCCTTCAACATAGTCTTTTAGGTGCCCACGGCAGATGAGAGACTCAATCTCATTTTTGAGCTCGTAACAGTCCTCGGTGTCGTGGTCGATGTTGCGGTGATACTTGTAGTACTTCTTGGGGTTCCCCCTTTTCGGGTTCCTCTTCAACTTGACTGGTCACTTCATGAATACCTCCTTCCCTACTTGCATCAGTGTGTGCATTCATGAAGAGTTTAGTGGGGTGTACTTGTTGAAGGAAGGGTCAATGGCTTCTTCTCACTGCCCTTGTTAGTGGAGCCATCACCGCGGCCATCCCTTTCCTTCCTCTTCTTGTCACTGGGCTTTGCTTTCGGATCCTAGAGGCGTTTGTTGGCTTCAGCCTCCTTGGCAACGATGTACTTCTAGACCTTCTTTAGGAACTCAACTTTAGTTTTGGGCGGACTCTTGAAGATGGGCCAACTGAGGAATCTAGGTCGGAGGCCACTAATGGCCGCGTGCATGGAGACCAAGGGGTCGAGGTGCTTGACCTTGAGCTCTTCCTATTTGAACCTTTTCATATAGTTTCGAAGGCTCTCCCTGCGCTTCTACTTGACGGACATCAAGGAGATGGCGATTTTCTGACACCATCGGTTGCTCACAAAGTGACGTAGGAAGAATGTCGACCTCCCATCAGTTGCTCACAAAGGTACAATGATTGTTGAGGAGGTAGTGGAGGTTGGAAACTGGTAGGGGAGAGGCACAATGTCGACCTCCCATCCCTGGGGGGACTGTAGTGGCCTGAGTGCCCACCGTCGTCCCGGTTGTCCGTAGCGCGGCGGTGTTGTTGGTCATGGTTCTTGCGCTCGATGTGTGACCCTACAGTTCTTGGAACGGATTTTGCTAGCCCACTGGTTGTTGCTGTCAAACTTTGAGGGGCCGACCCCTTCTAGATCTCCCAAGCGTTGGCTAAGCGAGGTATGGGAGGATCGCCGATCGTGTTGTCCATGGCTTCTGATGAGGCGACCACTCTATGAGTGGCCTTCTACCGGATGCCCTATATTGTCCAAAAGTTGGGCCAGGTTGTTCAGTCTGTTCAGGACCAGCTCAAATTGGTCGACCATGATTAAGTTCTGAATGTTAGGAGTGGGGTCTTGCTTGTCAGTCATTTCAAAGACAATAGTTGATCAATTCAAATCTGTTTTCCTTAGGGAAAGTTTAGAATACGTTCCCACAAATGGCGCCAATTCTACTGCCTGTGAAATAGGGAGTCGAGGGCAACAATGTAATTTCTAGTGTCCAAGGCCGATGGGTCCAACTTGCTAAGAGAAAGAAGACGTCAGAGGCCTAGGGAATTATCTCAAGGGTGAAGACTCGACGATCAAGTTAGCTAAGAGATTTGAGGGATTGGATCAAGCAAGAGAAGAAACTTACAGCTTAAGTCTGTATGTCTTTACCTCAATGTGGGAGCCCTTTTATAACTAGAGTTCCCATAGAAATGGGGTAGTTGGGACATGGGAGCAGGTGGCGGTAGTTGGTAGTGGTTGATAATGAATGGTCAGGATGAATCCGATTGACACCACGTGTCAGAATCCACACGATAACTGAGATGCATCCGATCGATGCCACATGTCAAGATTCGCATGTCAACCAAATACCCCTTCATTAGACTCCTTGTTTGACCATTCACCATAATAGAGTAGAGAAGAGAAGATAGAAAAAAGTAGGAGTGATCATTCACATAATATATATATATATATAATATTTTATAAATATTATATAACATATAATATAAAATTATATAATTTTTACATAAATGATATGGGCCTGGAATCAGGTCGGGCGAGGTCCATGACCACCCTAGAGGACCCACAACAAGAATGAGATGTGGACAAGATTAACAGCCTATTTTCTAGCACTTGGCGCTCAATCAGCAATCTATCTTCCACTCCTTCAGTGGCCACTTGTTTTGCTCACAATCCAACAAAATCCATCCATTGGATGTTTTTAAATTCCAACATGGTCAACCTCCTTTCAACTGATTTAAGAATAAATGTTTTAATTTAATCAAAATTAATTTTTGGTCCATTCCAAGGTTTTTAAAACCGGGTTGGACAGGGAACAGTTTTGGGTCCGGTTTTTGGGTTAAATGATCTGATTATCTGGTCCGAACAGATGGTTCGTTCCGACAAAAAATAAAAACAATTTAAAACACAAAAAATGACTAAAAACCATTTTCGAGTCAAAAGGTTCGATGGTTCGACTACTCAGATCAGCAGTTTGCTGACCAAATCAATAGTTTTTGGTCAAAAAAGCAGTTTTGGGGTTAAATGAAACCGGTCAGGTGACTGGTTCTGGTTTTTCCATTCCAACCGTTCGATCCGGTTTGAAAATATTGGTCCATTCTATTCATCTCTCGCACGTGCAATCCCACGTGCCACCCATCTACTTGTTACTTAATTCAGGTTTTTGGTTCACTTATCCCCTTGGTTTGTTGCTCCCCAATCCGACGGTCCACATCGATTGAGGCCCACCAACCAAGGACACGTGGTACATTCACTCTTATATACATAGAAAACATAGTTATTTTACGTGGATCAATCAAACTTAGTACGAGTGATAAAGATTAAAGAATTGGGCGGTGATGATGAATTCAATGACACCATTCTCCAATAAGAAACCCCACTTTCTGATTATTTTATTTAAAAAACCAAAAGAAATAAAAAAACTAAGACTAGATGCTGCATAGGACACGTGAGTATGTTGTGCAATGCATTTTTTGCCACGTGGAGGGTGATTTGGCCAATCTAGACCTTTGTAGGTCCCCTTTTTCTTAATCAGCTCCTTTGAGTGGCAATGGCCGTTGAAAACTTGGGAAACCATAGAGAGGGGTGTGTTGTTTCTTGGACAGTGGGAAGAAGGATATGGGAGTGGGGGCTATCATTCTAGATGTACTGACACGTGTAAGATTCTTGATGTCTCAGAGGTGTCTGCTGGCTGGATGAGTGATGTACAAAATCCAAACCCAACATTGAATTTCATGAGTTAAAAGATTCTAGTCGCTGAAGTCGGGAGCTTCGGAGGTAGAAAACGTATAGAGAGAGAGAGAGGGGTTTTGAGAAATCCTGTGGATTTGTAAAACCACCCAAAACCATGGGCAGCGAATTTCTGTCAGCTCGCACCAAAACCTCTTCCCCTAAAACCGGCTGCTCCACCCTCTGTATATATTCCGCTCCCTTCCTCTCTCTGTCACTCTCTCTGTGTCTCTGGGCGCATTGTTTCTTCGTCTTGGATTGGCTCGGATGAAAAGTTGGATCTTTATAAAGCTGTGAAAGAGAAACCATTCAATCTTAAGTTGCTTACCCAAATAAAAAGATCGGTTCTGCAATTATGGGTGATTGCCAAACAGCTCTCTTCATGAGTTGCCAATGCACTTGAGTCATCCTGAGTGATAAGTGATAACATCGAATTCTCAATCCCCATTTCTGATTTCGTTACTGTTTTTTTTTTTTTTTATTATATATATATATATATTCTTTGTTTTGCAATTCTGCAAAGAAGAACAGATACTGGGTTTGTTTCCTTATCTCGTATCAGTCTGGTTTCAGCTCTTTAATTTTCTGCAATTGAGAAAAGACCAAGAAGCAGTGGATATTTCTGCTTTTTGGTCTTTGAATTTTATATATATCCTTGTAGAAGAAGAAGATAGTTTTATGGAATGGATGTTAACAGTATGGCGGGAAGAATGATGTCCGGCATGGCTCCTGGAATGCTTGGGTTGGAGATGCCTCTGCACCAGCCACAGCAGCAGCAGCACCATCCTCACCAGCAACTCCAACAGCAGCAGCAGCACCACCACCACCACCAAATGATGGCCTTTGCGGGTCACGACAACGACCATCACTCGCAAGTTCAATCTGTGAAGCAGCATGGCTACGCTTACGCCACCAAGGGGAAGCCGCAGCAACCGGCATTGAGCGACGAGGAGGAGCAGGGGTTGGTGGGGGATGACGGTGGAGCAGACGCGAGGAAGAGAATGTCACCGTGGCAGAGAATGAAGTGGACGGATAACATGGTCAGGCTTCTCATCATGGTGGTCTTCTACATCGGCGATGACGGTGGCTCCGAAGGCAACGACCCCTCCGGCGCCGGCAAGAAGAAACCTGGTGGGCTCCTGCAGAAGAAAGGCAAGTGGAAATCGGTGTCCCGGGCGATGATGGAGAAGGGTTTCTATGTGTCTCCGCAGCAGTGCGAAGACAAGTTCAATGACCTCAACAAGAGGTACAAGAGAGTTAACGATATACTGGGAAAGGGGACGGCCTGTAAGGTGGTGGAGAACCAGAGTTTGCTTGAGACGATGGACCAGCTCTCGCCCAAGATGAAGGAGGAGGTCCGGAAGCTACTCAATTCTAAGCATCTTTTCTTCAGGGAGATGTGTGCTTACCACAATAGCTGTGGCGGTGGTGTAGGCGGTGCCCACCATGCGTCGGAAGCGGCGTTGGAGTCGGAAAACCATCAACAGCAGCAGCATTGCTTCCATTCACCCGAGGGCACCGCTGCTGCTGCTGGAAACCCAAGAAGCTTAAGCAGGTCGGAGTGCGAGGGATTAAAGTTAAGAAGCCGGGAAGAGGAAGAGGATGATGATGGAGAAGATGACGACGACGATGACGACGATGGTGACGAGGACGAGGATGACGAGGATGAGTCGATGGAGATTGGTGGAAGGAGTCGGAACAATGAGCATGGAGGTGGAGGTGGGCATGAAGAAGAGGACGATAACGAGTTGAAGTTAGCTTCGAGGAAGAAGCTGAGAAAGGGAATGCCGGCGGCATCGCTGTCGCCGTCGCCGTCGATACAACATCTGAACAGTGAGATGATGGGTGTGCTTCAAGATGGGACGAAGAGCTCGTGGGATCAGAGACAGTGGATGAGGAACAAGTCATTACAGTTGGAAGAACAGAGGGTGAGCTATCAGTGCCAAGCGTTTGGACTGGAGAAGCAGCGACTGAAATGGATCAAGTTCAGTGGGAAGAAGGAGAGGGAGATGGAGAGAATGAAGCTTAAGAATGAGAGGATGAGGCTTGAGAATGAGAGAATGCTCCTTTTGCTTCGCGAGAAGGAGCTCGAATTGCTCAATCTTCGTCAGAAACAGCAACAGCAGCAACAACACTCTTCGAACAAGAGGCCAGACCAATCAGGATGAATTGTATAGACATATTAGGCTTAGATTATTTGACTACATAAGCTGTAGCTCTTCATATTGGATTTGTTTAAATGGGTGGTGAATTACTGGATTGCCCCCCCCCCTCTCTTCTCTCCCTCTCTCTCTCTAAATTTTGTTTGAATATTGAAATAATGAGTTACATTTTCTGTGCAATCACACTATCACAAGTTTTAAGTCCAAACTCATCAATTCTCAAGCCTCAATTCACTACTTTTTTTTATTGTTTGATTTGATTTTTCAGTTAAATTTGTTACATTACATGCCAAACATTACTACTGTACATTCAAAGTCAAAAGTAAATACTTACTGTTTGGAACAGTTGAAAATTTCCTACATCTGTCTTTCTCAAAATACTGGGAATTGGAGTTTGGACTTTGAGAGCTTGGATTTTCTTTCACCAGGATTCAATGCAAACATCCAAACAAGTAATTTGGATCTTAGTGATAATTCCACAACAGTTTCATTTGTAAGAATTCCTCCTCGTACATTTACATGATGTGAGGAAGCTTACTCAGTTGGACAGTACTGAATAAAGGGTTAAAGAAAACAAACACTGCAATGGTCTCCAAGGGCCATTGCTTTTAGATACATGTCCCATGGCTTAGTACAGGGTTAAGATTGACTGAAGGGTTAAGGTACCCCCCCCCCCCACCACCACACACACACATGAATCGCATCTCATCTCATGTAGTACACTGGTTAGGATTTTCTTCTGAAATTTGAAGTAATGTTGCAGAATAATTTAGCTCAAGCCCTCAGCCATTCATCAACCCATCAGAGAAGAATTGCAAATCCATCACTCAGAACTAATCCAAACATGGTGATTTTGGTTGGGGTATGGGATTAAATAATTTGGTCCCACTGTAGTGACCTACATGGCTTCACAATGGACATAAGACCGACATCTCATGTCCTACTGATTTGTTTATTTAAGCAAACATGTAGAAGAATACTTCCCATATATTTCCTTCCCCAGTTTCCCTGGTTGAAACAGACACAGGAATTCCAATCCCCCCAAGATCTCTTTCAACCAATAATTGCCCATTTCCCCCGACATTTCTTCAAAATTTAGGTCCCAGTCCAAATCTCTCTCTCTATCTATCTATTTAAACCCTCTTAATGCTTGCTTTAAGTGTAATATATCAAATGGGTAGTCATACGTCATCCATGACGAGTTGGAGCTATGGCCATGTGGTTTATTGCATATGCAGGATAGGCTTTCTGAAAAGCAAATCAACTTCATTGAAAGTCCAACTTCTTTCCACAGGGAATAGAATTCTTTATCTCTGCAAATGGCGATTGAAATCAGCTCTCTACATGGTCAAATTCGTCAAAGAAATGGATTGACTGCATGTTTGTGTGTTCATTTGTTCAATACAAACAAAGGATTTGGACCTGAAGAAAAGAAAAACAAAAAGAAGAAGAAGAAAAAGGCTTCTTGTCCTTTTGTGTTTTAGAAGATCATATGGTAAGCAATCGCTAATTGTATAAGGTTTATACTACTTATTTAGTACTTTATTTTGATTTAGAAATCAATAATTATTTGTTTGGGTTAATATAATAAACTAAACTTTCATTAGTATTAGACATCAGAATTTCTCTTCCTAGTACAGGTGATTTTTGAGTGCTGTACTCAAAGAGGTACAACTGTACAAGTACTAAATTTCATTATTTTTTGGGAAATTATTAAAACCTCTCCTCTACTTTTACCTCTACAAAAACCTCCCTCCACGTTTCAAATAAAAATACATACTCACCCTTTATGTTAATTATCAAGCTTTTAAAAACGACTCAGAACCAGAATCGTTCCGGGCATCGGATGGCCTATTCTGATAAAAAATTAAAAAATGGTCAAAAACTGTTGAACGAGTTAATAGTTCAATCGCCCGAGTCAATAGATTGTTGACCAATTCAACAAATACTAGTTTTGAGGTAAAACAAAATCAGTTGTCTGAACAGTTCTTAGGCTGAATAGTCTGCCATCCGGATCAACAATGGATGAAAACATTATTAATTACCCTTCAATAAAATATTTATTGAGTGCTTACTCATATGTTCATCTTGTGTGCCTACTTGATCCGAACTTGTAACAAAAATATTGTAATTATACCATATTCCTACTATAAATACGCACCTGAACATCAGTGTTCTCTCTTCAAATTGCTGAATATGGTGTTTCTGCTCACAGAGGGGAGAATCAATCCTAATTTGGCCTTTGTTCACTAAAGGCTTGTTTGGTTTGAAGGAAAAAATAGGGAAAAGAAAGTAAAAGTAAGAAAACCTTTACGGAAAACCTTGTATAAATTTCCCTACCTTTTCCTTCAAATCAAACATAACCTAAAAGAAGTGTACAATTAATGATACCCATTTAAACAGAGTCATGAACTCATGTTTCAAAGTATAGATTCTGGAAAATTCAGTATTGAGCCATTACAAATATTGATACTCTACATTTAATCGTGTTTCAGTCAACACCTCTGTCTAACATTAATGCACTACGACTACTAGTAATTGAAAATAACAGAAAAGTTATGAATATAGCGAATCACTTAATATACCGGATCCCATTAGAATTTCGAAGTTAAGTGTGTTTGGGCGAATGGGGTAATAGGATGGATGACCTCCCAGAAAGGTGGTATTGTACCTTATTTTTAATTAATATATGCTGATCAAAAGAACAAATTAAAAGAACAAATCACCTATTTGGATGATTTAATAAATCTTCATTCTAATAAAGTTTTTTTAGGACAAACAGGATTATAAAAACTTTAAACATTATGCCAACACTTACAGTCAAGACGATTAATGAAAGGGATGTATTTGCATATTCATTTGAAACATGAAAGAGAGGTTTTTGTAGGGATCAAAGTACAATGGAGGTTTAAATAATTTTCCCATTTTCTTCCATATAACTATTCAGTTTTATGTTATAAAATTCTCTAGGGATTTCCCCTTGGAAAACAATCTTGTAGAGATGGATGATTAATTGATTCACAATGTCTTATACACAGTTAGAAAGGTAAATGACCCAACAGTACTTCATTTAATTCATTCTTCAAATTAAAGAAAAAAAAAAAGAATTTCCTTTTCTACAGCTAAATCATTTGGAAATTAAGGAGGTCTTATGTATGGTGAGGGATAAAGCTGGTGGAAAGCTTTCCATGTCTAACTTTACCTATAAAGCAGCCAATAACATAATGGGTGAAAAGATGGAGGACTGTAAAAGCATACACAGTTCAAGCAAGAGAAGCCCTGTGATATGGACAATCTGGATTCTTTCAATGGCTAAAAAGAGAGAAAATAATATGAAAGTGAAGTTAGCCTTGGGATATTTGGGTGCACCCAGTAAAGATTAAGTGGACATTCTGCAAATTGAATGCTTAGAATTTCAGGTACTGATAACATTGAAGTCATGGTGGGTTTTTAGTCTCTATGGTTTTCAAATTTGAAAGGGTTTAGCTGCTTTTCCCTGATAAAACAAACCCTACATTGGTTGCATCAAATCTGTGATGACAGATAAATCCTCAATACACACCTCAACTGAACTCAAAGCCATCTATTGTCTATATGGATGAGCACATGAATCTTATTCCACCATTCTTCAATCACATGTCAAGTCCATTCTTTTTTTCTGGCAACCTCATCCCATGTTCCTCCTTGTTCTCATGTAATTGCATATTTGCATTAAATCAGTTTTGCTTTGCTTTATTTGTAATTATGAGTTTTGTTCCTATTTGATTCAAAATTTGTACTTTTTTGTCACTTTTACATTCATTGTCAGTGCAAATTTTGCTTCCCAAAAACTGATACAAAATTTGCACCATCTTTCAATTCTTTCTCATATAAATGGAACCACATCATCGAGTAAACCAGAATTTACACTCAGCCCTTTTGCAATATTCTCATGTATCTATAACAAAGCAAATGAAATTTGTACTGCAACCAAACGTAGCCTAAATGTCTAATTCCATCATTTCTGTCTACTATCTACTACTAATCAATCTTAGCAATAATATATGTTTTTCAATTGTCAATATTTTATTTCATTCATTCTACTCAGTCATATATAAAAGTTTCCCTTGCCAATTTAGATGATATATCAAGGCCCATTTAGGGGTGCTTCTCCAATTTGCTTTTTGTGGCTTTTCACACCGAGAAAGTAAAAAGCCAGCCAAAATTTTATTTGGTGAAAAAGTCTGAAACAAGTTTTGTTTTTGAAAGAAAGAATTTATCTTTTGGTAAAAAGCCAGTTGACCATGTGGAAAAAAAGAAACTTCATTTATCTTTTCACATTTGAAAGAAAGAATTTTGAACAAAAATGCTGGTGACCAGTCAAACACTAAATACGCACTTTTTAAAAACCCCATTTAAAAAAAAAGGTGGTATTTCATAAGCCCATTTAGGCCAAAAGCCACTCCCAAACATGGCCTAATTATATCTACTACAGTAATATTGAGGAAATGTTCACATAATGACATAAAATTGGTCTAATCTATATCTATACTACTATAAAAAGTGTAAATGAGCGTGAAACTTTTGTTTGACTAAAATGCCCTAATTTTTGAATCGGGTCTCTCTCTACTTATAAGGACAGAAGTGTAATTTGAACAATCACTTTTCTCCTCATTACTTCTATTTTTGAATTTGGTCTCTTTTTTATTGTGAAGGCACAAAATATAATTTGAACTACTATATTTCTCCTCATTTAATTCACTCTCATTAAGTCTTATATTTAGAGTTAATTAACTCTCATTCTTTCATTGAATCTTATATTGACTAATCATATTATCTATATCTATACTACTATTAAAAGTGTGAATGATAGTATAAAACTTTTGTTTGACTAAAATACCTCAAATTTTGACTTTGATCCCTCTCTAATTGTAAGGACAGAAATGTAATTGAAAAATCATTTTTCTCTTCATTCAAACCATTATTACTATGTCTTATATTTAAGGTGTTAATTCCCATTAACATTGATTGAGTTCTATTCATGACTAGAATATCCTTAATTTTGGATTTGGTCCCTCTTTATTGTGAGGGTACAAAATGTAATTTGAACTGCTACGTTTCTCCTCATTCAACTCCCTCATTAAGTCTTATATTTAGAGCATTAACTCCCATTCTTTCATTGAATCCTATATTAATTACATATTAAAGAAATTAG